GATTGGCATTAACACAAGAAACACATAAATCATTTTGGCCATGAGTTAATTTGAATAGAAATGCATAAAATATGGATAAACCCAGTTGAAAGAATGTGACTTGATGTGAGGAAGCATAATTGATGAATGATGTTGACATCTCGTTGTCAAAGCATATATTAAATACACTGGAAAAAGGTGATTTTTGACCAACAGATGAACGTTGTCGATCAACAGGCAATGATAATGGACATTGCATATTATATTTTTCGAGTTGTGAATGCCAAAATATTTGTGATGGACTCATATCAAGTAAACGTTCATGAACAGTATAATCAATGTATTGTAATAAATGTTTATCTTCTGAACATGTTTTATTATTATTATTGTTATTATAAATATTACATAAATCATTGAAGAAGATTTGAAAAGATGATCGATCAAATGCTGCATGATGAAATCCCATGAGAAGAATATCAGAATTTCTTATATGTTCATTGTCATTATTTTCATTGCCGAATTGTTTCTCTCGAAGTATTTGACAATAAAAAACACCACCATTTGATAAATCAAAAATATTTGGATTAATAATCGTTTCATAGATAATGTTATTAAGTTCATTTTCATTTTCAAATGTTTGTTCAATATGAAATGTGAATGTTTGATGATTATCAGTAACAGATTGTTTTAAAGTACCATCTATTTCATTAAAAATAAGGGATGTTCGTAATATTGGATGTTTCATTAAAACTAATTGAAGAGCTCGTGAGAGACGCTCAATCGATATTAGACCTTTTGTAAGTCGCATGGCAATTACTTCATTATAAACTGCTGCATTAGTAGAAAAGCGAACTTGTTCATCAAGAAAGATGCGCTCTTGAACAAATGATGCAACTCCTACAATTTTATGATAACAAAACAAAAATAGATCATCTATTGAAGATATAATATGAAATGATGTTACCTTGATTAATATGTAATGTGTACCATTTTTCTGAATCTATATCATTTATTTTGATTGATTCTAATAATTGTGAATGTTGAGCTATAGTTGGTTGTTGAAGAAATGAAGCAATAGAAAGTGCATGACTATCAAAACCAAATATTGTTTGGTAAACATGATAGAGTTGAATAAATAGAAGTGAATGACCACCAACACTAAAAAAGTTTTTAGTTGTTGGAATTTGTTTTCCATCACATTGAAGAACTTGACACCAAATATCATGTAGACGTTTTTCTAATTCGTTATATGATACACTAGATTCATTTGGTGTTGACATATCAAATGAAGATAAATCAGGTGGAGGAAGACTTTTTCGATCTATTTTTCCATTAACATTCAATGGTAATTTTTCAAGTATAATGAAGATTGATGGAACCATATGAGGTGGTAAATGAGACTGGCAATATTCACGTAGTTCTTTTTCATTAGTATCAGAAGTTTTTTGAACATAAGCAATCAAATGATTATCACCCCATTTTATGATAACACAAGCAGAAATTGATGTATCAAGTAAACATCGTTCAATTTCTCCTAATTCTATTCTTTGCCCATGCAATTTTATTTGAAAATCTTTTCGACCAATATAATTAATTATGCCAGCGTTATCTATTCGAACAAGATCACCTGTTCGATAGAATGCTTCACCATCGATTTCAATGAGTAATTTTGCTGACAGATCATCGCGCCCATGATATCCGTCGAAGACACCTACACCTCCGATAAATAGTTCACCTTCCTGATCGATGATAACTGATTGTAAGAATTGATCCGCAATCATGTATCCATAATTTGGAAGTGGGCGTCCAATTGGAATATATTCGGCATCTGCTGTAACATCGACTGGATGAAAAGTACAAACTACGGTCGTCTCAGTCAAACCATATAAATTCCACACGACAAACTTCTGTGTAGGATTAGTGAGAATTGACTTAGCTAATTTCATTGTACAAGGCTCACCTGTGAAGAAAAAATATAGCATAGAAAAAACAATGTAGTTTGTTTTTGAGGTATTTACCAATAGTACAAAGTGATCTAAGGCATGTCACAGAAACCAAAGAATTTGTTTGTTTAAGAAAAGTGAAAAGGCTGCGAAGCAAACTTGGTACACTGTGCATATAACTTATTTGTTTGTTTTTCATGATTGCAGCAAGATAGTCTAATTCAACAGTCCCCTTTGGATGAAGCATAATTAATGTAGCTCCTATCATCAATGAGCCAACAATTTCTTGAATATGATTATCAAATGAACACCGTGCCATTTGAATTACTGTATCATTTTTGTTAAATGAATCAATGTGAACTAATGAATGTATGCATTGAATGAAGTTGCGATGTCGAAATCGAGCCTATAAATAGAAAGATAATAGTATCATCTGAGCAAATAATCTATTTCATTTATAGATGATGTATTGAAAAAGATCTAAAGTGATTGTTTCTCTCGATAATCTTTTCCTTCTGATTACATGTATGTTTGATGAAACTTCAGCTAAAATATAAATTTACTTCAAATCAAAAGCGTTGTGTACAGTTCCTGTCTTAACTTAATCGTTTTCATTAGACATATACAGTAGTTATTTTTAAGATAGGAAATGGCAAAATAATTGTCATCACACTTCGTAAACGAAAAATTGTCAACTTCTACGATGAATGGAGTACTAAGCGTTTCATACCTAATTTGCATCCCTATTTGTGGGTAGGGATGTGCAGTGTCAGCGAAAATACTGAAAAACTGACACTTAAAATATCAGTTCGGTGTCCACCGAACACCGAATATAAGTGGTCGGTGCCCACCGTAGCACTGAAAATATCGGTGTCAGTGTTCACTGAACACGGAAGGTATCAGTTCCTAAAATATTTTTGTGTTAAACCTTATTATTTACAACAATATATCAGTGTGTTCACCGAAAAACTGGACGGTGAGCACCGAACACCGAAAATAAGTGTTCGGTGGACACTGACACCGATATCTTCAGTGCCACGGTGGGCACCGACCACTTATATTCGGTGTTCGGTGAACACTGACACCGATATTTTAGTGCCACGGTGAGCACCGACCACCGAATATAAGTGTCGGTGAAAATCGTTGTCAGTGAAATTCAGTGCTCAGTAAACTGACACTGCACATCCCTATTTGTGGGTATGAAAAAGTGCCTTTCACATAGAGATAAAACATGTGTATATGATTAATTTTACTAATTCACATCGCGACTGGCTCGTCCGTAAGTTATGACACCCCCTCATCCCGTAACAGAAAATTTTCGTTTTCCCCAGCAAAACTGAGATTTCTACCATCCATAATTAATATTTGACTATTTTATAGTTTTATAATCAATGTTTAACTGGTTTCCATTTTATTCATACATTAACAATAAAGTTTTAATCAATATTCAGGCATTATTTTAAATATAAAACTAGAAGACACTTCAACATGATTTATATAATTTTTCTTCAATACAAAGTAAAAAGATTTGCTTTCATTATTCGAATGAACAATGTCAATACCATAAAACTACATTAAATTTGATTGATCAGTTATTAATAAGTCAAGTGAACATTTGGAAAATATTTCCATTGCAGATTCACTTGTAATATGACTGTTAGAGAGAAAAGAAGTCTTCTATTTCTGTCTACATATATATCATATAGATTTCTGTTTTGTATTATTCACGAGTTATGAGAATTGTTAATAAATCTTCGATTTTGATCAGTTCAATCGAGATCATTGAAAAGAAAATTACTACTTCAAGACTTTTTATCTAATACTTTAACATCCTATTAAATAGTCCTATTATAAGTCATACTTCAATTGAAAATATTTCCAGAAAATCATCTTCAAAGTTTTTCTTCAAAATTCACCTAATTACGGTATGATTTATTCAGAGAATTTGATAGAATTTTAAGCTCAAAAATTGTACTTCTGTTGCATAGTAAAAAGCGAAACTTTCCTTATTGTTTTTATGAAAAATTATTGAAATAATATTGAGAAATGTTGAAATTTCAAGTAGATAATCACAAAAGTAGCTCACCTAAGAGATGTGTATCATCAAAGAATATGATAAAAAAAACTTGAATGAATAGAAAGAAATTGAAGATGATTTTATGAATTTGATTATTATTTTTCTTTTTAATAACATAGCGTAATAAGTATTTCTATTTGACTTCATACTAACCCCTTTTGGTACTCCTGTTGAACCACTTGTAAAGATAATATAAGCAATACTATCAAGTGTTACTTTGACATTTGATAATCGATCAATTTCAATATCATTAATTGAATTATTATTCATTAAGATTGAACTAATATCTAACAAAGTAATATGATCATTAAATTTCATTTTTGTTAAATAATGCATAAGAACAAGACGAGATTGAGTTTGATGCAACAGCATATGTAAACGAGTTTCTGGATCTCGAGGTGACAATGGAAAATATACACAACCAATCATCTCAATTGCCATTATACCAATAACCTAATCAATATCAATATCAATATGTTTATTAAAATAAATCTATTTTTAATGATTGACTTACCATTGATAAACTTCTTTCGACACATTGAGAAATAATATCACCTGGAACAATATTGTATTGATCTAAGAGATGAATAGCCAATTGTTGAACATAAGTTAAAAGCTCAGCATATGTTAAAAATTGTTCATCAAGTTCAACAGCTAATTTTTGTGGATGTTTTATTACTTGATAAACAAATTGATGATGCATACATGAAGGAAAATGAGTATATGTTTGTGTATTGTTTATTGTTTGTATTCTTAATTTTTCATCAGATAATGTTAATGATAATTCATAAATTGGTTTATTTATTTCGTTATTATTCATTAATTCAGATAGTTGATATAACATTAAATGAAATCGTTGTACAATCTTATTAATTGTTTCTGTTTCAAATAAATCAAGTGATGCATTAATTGTACATGAAATTTGATTATTATTGATATCATGTTGAAAAATAAGAGCAAAATTCGATATACTCATTATTTGATCTTCATAATTTCTAATTGATTTATTTATATCATAGAGTCGATTATTATCAATTATGACTTGATTTTCATTTGATTGAAATTCAAATAATATATGAAGAAATGTTGGTTTTGAAATATTTGGATGTTGAGCAAGAATACGTTGGAGAGGAAAATAAGAATATTCTAAATTATTTGTTAATATTTCACAAATATTATTAATTAATTGATGAAATGACCAATGAGAATCTACTTGACAACGAATTGGAATAATATTTTCAAATAATCCAATAATTGACTTTAATTCTTCTTTGTATCGATTTTCTATGTTCATTCCAATACATAAATCTCTTTCACTATTGGTTAATTTAAATAAAAATGCATAATAACTTGCAAATAATAAATGTTCTAGTTTAATCTTATTTGATAATGCATAAACAAGAAACTCTTGTGAAAGTCTTTTATCAAGATCAAAAGAAAAAGATATGCCACGACCAGTTCGATGTTCATCCGCAAGATTATGTCTATCATATGGTAATGATAATTGTTGATCGAGTTTATAATCATGAAGAGTATCCATCCAAAACATACTGGCAGTTGTCATTGGCATTTGTCGTTCCATCAAAGCATCTGTATAATAGAAGAGAAAAAGTGATCACTTTCAAAACTTAAGACAAAAAACATAATTGATATTTACAGTCAATATAACGCAAATCAATATTGCCATCAGTTTCTAGTTGACCTGTACTGTAAGCTTCATTGAGATCATGGAAAAACACATTCATTGATGAATTATCAAATAAAGCATGATGAAAATTGAAAATAAGAACATCTTTGTCAGACAGAAAACCATTTAAAGAAACTTGTTTGTAGTAAACAATATGATATCGAAAGACGCGGCCTTGAACAAGATCGAAATGCTGAGGATTGTGTCTTTCATCATTGATAATCTTATTTAGTTGCTCATCGGTCTGAAAAGTACTTTCAAAATAGAAGAATAATTTATTATTGTTACTGTTAAAATCAATAATTTGTTGAATAAATTGATTTTGTTCTGTATGAAAGATGAGTGAAGTGTGAAGTGTTGAATGTTTGATAAGGATTTGTTGAATAGCTTGATGAAGTCGGTCAATTGATAAACTATGTTGATGTTGAAGTCGATAAATGAAAGGTTTATTATGAATAGATATAAATTGTTGATCATAATGAGAATGAATTCGTTCATCAAGACAAATTCGAGATTGAGCATATGATGCTGGTGCTACGTAAACCAACATGAATGTCAATGATTAGTTGATTTTTATTAAATTAGAAATAGAATAGAAATTTTTAACTATGTGTTCGTTAGTTTTCTTAATATTCCAGAGTTATATATTGAAGACTTACTTGCTTTTAGATAAAAATAGTTGAGACCTCAACTCTCAAATTAACCCAAGCTGGTTATTATTGATTTCTTCTCTACTCAGGCCAGTCCAAAAGTAATGGCAGTAACACTTTAATTCTTTATAGCAAGCTGAAGAAGACTTTGTTTTTCTATGAAGTTCTAGAGAACAATACGCTCTATTGTTCTATACTATTTGATCATACGCCAGTTAATGTTATAGTAGCAAAGTTTTCATAAGATTGGCTTTCGTATTCTATGTTTTGGTTACCACAGTGCATATGGTCACCAATATGCACTCGCTTCTTAAGGTAAAGTGTAAGTGTGGATGTAAGAGCGAAGAGTAAATTCACACCAGACCTACGCACGCTCACACCGTCACCAACAGTCACCCATCCATATCCACCCTCAAGAAGCGAGTACATATTCGTGACTATATGCACTGTTGTAATTAAAACATAGAATACGAAGGCCAATCTTATGTCAACTTTGCTATTATAACATTAACTGGCGTATGATCAAATAGTATAGAAGAATAGAGCGTATTGTTCTCTAGAACTTCATAGAAAAACAAACTCTTCTTCAGCTTGTTATTAAGAATTAAAGTGTTACTGCCATTACTTATGGGCTGACTTAAGTATTATATATTTCATATTAGGATTCAATCAATTTTAAATGCGTTTAAAAAATTTGTATCTATTACTTTGGTGTTGACCTGCTCATACCGATATGGTTAACAAACGTACACCGAAGTATACGTTTCTCTGCATGTTTTTATTGACAAAATAGTTACAGTTAAGGAAAGCAATAAGTTTTTATTGTTTTTTCACATTCTTTTAACAACCATAAATGCTACCCCGTACAATACTGGTGCACCACCTATGCACTGGAGGTTCATTCGATCTTTTGATAGAAGGGTCTGGTATTACACGAGAAGGTAAAATCTTGAGGGAACAACACTGAAAGACTTATATAAGATTGATAACTATGATGACATGATATTAAATTGAAAAAAGAAACAGAATTGATCCTGGATCGGGTTTCTGAAATCTAAGGCGAATTGAGCCGAACCTCTTGGCAGAAAATTTAGTCCTTTACGATGTCTGAATTAAATACTAAAATGTCAGAATATTTTTACTATTGATTGTTTTATATGGCTAACAGTAACTGGAGATTGATTTTTACAACTCTTTATAAGAGAAAAGCTAACGATAAATTAGTACATAGCAATTTCTGTTTGCTATAAAGACAGGATATTGAGAAGTTTTCTAGTTATTAACAGCTGTTTTCCATGGGAACACATGTGGTAAAAAAATTCATTTATATATAAATATCAATGTACTGAAAACGGTACTCAGATACACATACCTTCATTAATAATATTCGGTAATCTATGAAAGACTACCTTTTGTATTTCTTCAGCTTCTTCTGGTAAAATAAGAGATAGTTTCTTGATAGGTGCAGTAGAATGATCATTCTGAATAATAGTGCAATTCGAAGAGAAAAGTTGAAAGACAACATATTGAAATCTTTCAGCTATGTTCGCAACAGTCGTCTCATCGAACAAATCATGAGAGCAGGTGAATTTATATGACAATCTACCATCATTTAATGTCGGGTTGTAAATAAATGCAAACATACAATCAAATTTAGCTACTTCTGACGACTCTGATAATGGCACTACGTCTAAAGCTTTACCATTCAAAGATAAGTGATCGATATCTGAAGAAACAGTAATAAAATCAAATACTGTTTCAAAAAATGTACCATTTGATTGATTCAGATCGAAATCAGCAAGAATATGTTGTAATGGATAATTAGTATGCCCAAGAATTGCCAAGCATTTTTCTTGTACATATTTTACAAGTTCATCAAATGTCCAATGAGAATTCAACTCAATACGATAAGGTAATGTTGAAACAAACATTCCAATCACATTCTGTAACTCACTTCTATATCGATTTGCATTGATAGAAGCAATACATAGATCATTTTGGCCATGAGTTAGTCTGAATAAAAACGCATAAAAAATAGCTAATCCTAATTGAAATGTTGTTACGCCATGTGATGAAGCATAATTTAAGAATGATGTTGCAACTTCATTATTGAAAAAGATTTCAGCCACAGAGGCAGAACCCGATCGTTGATCAGCTGATGAACGTTGTCGATCAAATGACAACGCTAATGAATTTTCGAAATTATAACCTTGAAGTTGTGATTGCCAAAAGTCACGCGATAAAGTCATATCCATTTGGCGTTCATAAACAGAATAATCAATATATTGTATTGTATCATCATCAATAGATAATAAATCATCAGTTTCATAAGCACGTGACAGATCAGAAAGGAAAATCGACAACGAGGCTCCATCAAATACTGAATGATGAACATTAAATAGTATAAAGTCATCATCAATTAATAGATCATCATTCTGTAATGAAAGCAAATTAGAGCGATAATGTCGAAGAATATGACATTGGATAACATGCCCTCTTGCCAAATCAAATAGATCGGAATAATTTAATATTTCATTTATTCTTTTATCAATCTCATGATTATTATTGTCTTGAAGATCGATTACTGAAAATCCAAATAGTTTCACATCATCAGTAACGATATTCACATCTAAACAATGCTGTACAACAACACCATTTGTATCAAGATAAAGTGCTGTACGAAGAAT